AGAAAAGTCTATTCAAGTCCTTTGCCCATTTTTAAACTGAGTTATGTTTTTATTGTTGAGTTATAAGCGTTGTGTACGTATTCTGAATACTAGACCCTTATCTCGTATATGATTTGTAAATATTCCGTCCCATTCTGGACCATTTTGTTTTACATAAATCTTTCATATATTGGGAGCCCTGGTGGCAGTGTGAGAGCTTGGCTGCTAACCAAAAGATCAGCAGTTTGAATCCACCAGCGGCTCCTTGGAAACCCTATAGGGCAGTTCTCCTCTGTCCTGTAGGGTCACTGTGAGACGGAATCGACGTGATGGCAACAGCTTTGTTTGGTTTTTTTTTTTTTTTTTTTTTTGGTTCTTATGTTAAGTGAAAACTCTGTTCCCCCCATAACTTCCCTCACTGACTCTGAGGGACAGTGGAGAGAGCACATTTTTCAGAAAGGGAGGACCAGAATCGGGCCTGGCTGAGGTTAAAACATGACCTTGGGAAGGACTGTGTAACCTCTCTGAGCCTCATTTTCCTTAGCTTTTAATTAGGCTAACCTATTACAGCAGTGTTGGGAAGCTGTAGTAAGATAATGTGTGTGAAGAATGATTTTTAAGGTGAGATATGAATATTCCATTGGATTGTGAGTTTCGTAAAGACAGCTTTGCATCGTGGCAAGAGTTGTGCACCAAGACCAGTCTGGGGGCTTTGACGCCTAGCTCTGCCACTTACAGCTGTACAAACTTGGGAAGTTATTTCTCCTCTCTGTGCCTCTGTTTTACCATCTATAAAATGGGGATATTAACAGTACCACCTACAAGGGCTTTTAGTGAAGATGGTTTGCTCTCAGCTACTAACCAAAAGGTTAATGGTTTGAACTCACTCAGCGACACCTCAGAAGAAAGGTCTGTGATCTGCTTCCGTAAAGATTACAACCAAGAAAACCCTGTGGAGCTTGGGTCTGCTCTGTAACACCTGGGCTCGTCTTGAGTCGGAAACGGCTCAACAACAGCGAGGTTTTTTTTTTTCTTATTCTTTTGGTTTACCATACCATACCTGTTGTGGTAGAGTCAATTCCTACTCATAGCAACACTATAGGACAGAGCAGAACTGCCCCATAAGGTTTCCAAGGAGCAGCGGCTGGATTTGAACTGCCTACTTTTGGTTAGCAGCCGAGCTCTTAACCACTGAGCCACTAGGGCTCCTTTTTTGGTTTAGTGAAGGTTAAATGAGTGTGATCTATGAAAAGCACTTAGAAACAGCCTGGCACGTGATAATTACGTAAGTCTTGGCTATTTTTATTGAGGGTAGGACCATTATCTTCACATCTTGCGTACAGTCGTATCCCTGCTCCTGACATTAAGCAGATGTCCCATAAATGTCTGCTGAATGAATGAAGGAATGGATGCATATTGGCTCTGCCCTCAGGAAACAGATATGAGAAGCCCCACACCTCTTCCATGTGACCCTCTGCTCTGCTCACTCACCCCCCGCCCCACCCAGTGCATAAATGCCCGTGCAAGGCGCAGCAGGCCCCACACCTACACCTTCCCCGCCTATCTTTTCTGAACAAAGTGCAGCTTTGCAGCGCTATACTTCGGTCCTTTGGGGCAGCCCCAAGCCACGAAGTAATCCAAACCAGCCTGAGAGGAATGTTCTTTTCTTATGCTGCTCAAATGAATGCTCTCTTAAAAGGATGCTTCTATTTTCCCTTCTTCTTCCCGTGTATCATAACCCTGTTACTCTTTCACAGCCTTCTTCCTCCTTATCCCCCTTCTTCTTCTTGCCTGTTATGGATTGAATTGTGTCCCTCAAAAATTTGTGTGTCAACTTCGCTAGGCTATGACTCCCAGTATTGTATGATTGTCCACCATTTTGTCATCTGATGGGGTTTTCCTATGTGTTGTAAATCTTACCTCTAAGATGGTAATGAGGCAGGATTAGAGGAAGTCATTTTAATGAGTCAAGACTCAATCTACAAGATGAGCTTGTGTCTTAATCTCTTTTAAGATATGAAAGAGAGACGCAAGCAAAGAGACACGGGGACCTCATATCACCAAGAAACAAGAGCTAGGAGAATAGCACGTCCTTTGGACCCAGGGTCCCTGTGTTGAGAAGCTCCTCAACTGGGGAAGATTGATGACAAGGACCTTCCCCCAGAGCCTACACAGAGAGAAAGCCTTTCCCTAGAACTGGTGTCCTGAAAAGACTCCTAGCCTCCTAGACTGTGACAGAATAAAATTTCTCTTTGTCAAAGCCATCCACTTGTGGTATGTCTGTTATAGCAGCACTAGATGACTAAGACAATGCCCTTCTCCATCTCCCATCTACCTCCTCTTCTACCTTCTCCTGGAAGCCTTCCTAGCTAATACCCATCAAGCAAGACACCCTGGCTTTGTCCACAAGCACATTTTTGTAATTGGGTATGATATGCAAAATATTTAAAAACAAGTACCTCCCAGCTGGGCAGCAACCAATCAGAAAGCACCAGAGCTGGGCCTTGTAGCCCCCTGCTGTGTCAGGTTTAACTCTTCGCTTGCTGGGATCTGGGAGATGGTGGGGGCCCCGGGGGAGGGCTGGAGTGGCTAGAGAAATGGAGAAAACACTGGACAGACTCGACACAGTGGCTCTTTTCTAACTGGGGCAGAAGTACTTTCTGCTTTTTAATAAATGCACAGCTGTGCAGATGCACACTCACCAAATGTCAGCCCGTTCATCAGCCTTTTAGGATGATTCGCTGTCTGTATCTGAATTCCAGGAAGCCCTCCCTGGGGGTGGGTGATTCGCCATACAGCATTTCAAATCAGAATGGAAAAGACTACAGTAAGTAGGTCTTATGCCTTTGGATAGATTCCACATTTAAGAAAAGAAAAAAAATGACCAAGGACTGCAATAGCTGGAGACTGATCATATTAAAACTAGCAGCCAAGGATGAAACCCTGAAACTACCACCTGGAATAATCTTTAAACCTTCAACCAAAAATATTCTCTGAAGCCTTCTTAAAACCAAGCAATAGTTTAACTTATACTGCAGAATGCCTGCCTTGAGCATTATGCTCTTTTAAGAGCTATCCATAGAGGATCAAATTGACAACAGCGACTCTCTAGAGATGAGATAGGAAACTTAGAGGGCAGTAAAAAAGAGAAAACCATTACCCTCAAGTCGATTGCTATGTGTTGTAGAGCTGCCCCACAGGGTTTCCAAGGAGCTGATGGTGGATTCGAACTGTCAATCTTTTGGTTAGCAGTGGAGCTCTGAACCACTTACCCACCAGAGCTGCTGGGGAGCCGTAAGTTTATGTTGATGGGAGAGGAACAGTTTGACAAGGAGGGTGAGAACGGTTGCACAACGCGAAAAATGTAATCAGAGTCACAGAATCGTACATGGAGAAATTGTTACACCGGTGGATGTTCTTCTGTGTCTATTTTCAACCACAAAAAATAAAATGCAAGAATAAAACAGCAGCCCATATTTACTGAGCATTTGCTCTGTGCCAGGCCCCCCTTATGACCCTGTTCAGGAATGTAACCCTCAGCGTGGTGGTGAAGACGAAATGGGAGAATGAAGGGCAAGGTTCCCACAGTGACGCCGGCTAGTTGTAATTCTCCAAGGTGCCTTCCATACTCGTCCTCTCTTCCACCCACCCACCTGGATCTTGGCTTCAATGTCGAATGTTCTTCCTCTGGGAGTCATTCTGACCCCCTTACCAGGAGAGAACGCCCTGATGTGTGTTCAGCCAGCGCCCTGCAGGCCCCCTGTCACAGCAGTGATCCCATTGTGCTCTAATGCTCTGTTTGCTGTCACGGGGCGTGGCGCATAGAAAGGGTTGGAGAAGGAAGGAACCCGATCATTGGATAACTTGCTCTGAGTGGCTTCTGTGTGACGATCCCTGTCCTGCGGGCTTTGAGAGAAGTGCAGGAAGCTGACTGGAAAGACCAGCCCTCCCCCAGCAGGAAAAATACTAATGCTGTGATATTAATATTTCATGGAGCTTCTTTCTGTTTGATCCATAACGCTGCCCACATTTGTGAACACGGCGTTAGAAAACCTAGACACTATGCATCAAACAGCCACTAGGTGGTTTTCCGTTATTCTGATGACAGTCTCCGGTCCACACTAAACCCAAGTACCTCTGTGACTCAGAGGACAGTGATGTTCTAGTTAAATCGAATATTCTTCAAGTCAAGCATCTGGTGCTGGAAGTTTCCTTGAATCTCAGGAGAGCAGAGGGGCTATTTTTGGCCTTCCTGATTTCTTTTAATGGGCACATTATCATACAAAGTTAACAGGATGGATAATCCTTACCAAGAAAACTGGGTTTAGCCTCTTCATCAAACTGACCAACAGCTTTCCCCAGTCACAACATCAGTACTGCAAGAAATTGAAACTGCCCAGGCAACCAATATTCATTTTTTTAAAAAAGGCTCAACTGTGCTTGGAAACGGCAAGCTACAAACAGTTGCCACTTTGCCTCTCCTGCTCGTTTACTAATTTCTATGTTTTGCGTTTAAAATGGTCACAAAATTAGGTCTTAATGGCACACAGCAGTAGTGCTTGACATGATAGGGAAGCTGCATTAGCATAATAATAAATTAAGAAATGAATCGTAAATCTGCTCAGAAAGCACCTTCAATAGCCCGGAGGTGTTCTCAGCCCTCCCTGGATGAGCAGCTGCCATAAATGCAAATCTAGAGAGGTTAGGCTCAGAAGCATTTGCTGCTCCCTCCAAGAAAGGCAAAAGTACCAGAACTTCTGGAGATCTCAGGGTCTCATTCCTCTGAGCCAAGTGAGGCTGCTGAATGGATCCATTAATGCTCATTTGTATCATTTTTCTGGTAAGAAACTGCCAACGAAATCCTAGTCCCCAATATGACTTAGGCTACGCACCTACACAGCTTGGTTTACCTTTCTTTATCCTCCCTGAAACTCAGAGTTGTGAAGTTATTTGTGGTAGGTAACATTGGAGGGGTTGGATGGTCTATCAGCATTTTCAATTTTCCTTACTTTGTCCATCAGGCCACACCTGCAAATCTTCCTGTATCTTCCTACGTATGCCATGCCATTGAAGCAACAGAGAAAAGGGAACGTGCCCCAAAAGAGAAGACTGTAAATATTCCATTTTTAACTGTCTTTAATAAGTATAATATTTTATGCTATTTACACCCCCCCCCCCAAACATGTCTGTTGTTGTTAGATGCCATTAAGTTGATTCCAACTCATAGCAACCCTGTGTACAACAGAATAAAACACTGCCCGGTCCTTTGCCATCCTCACAATTGTCGCTCTGTTTGAGCCCCTTGTTGCAGTTACTGTGTCTATCTCGTTGAAGGTCTTCCTCTTTTTCGATGACCCTCTGCCTTGCCAAGCATGATGTCCTTCTCCAGGGACTGGTCCCTGCTGATAATATGTCCAAAGTATATGAGACAAAGTCTTGCCGTCCTCACTTCCCAGGAGGACTCTGGCTGTACTTCTTCCGAGACAGACTTGTTTGTTCTTTTGACAGTCCATGGTATATTCAATATTGTTCCCCAACACCGTGGTTCAAAGACATCAGTGCTTCTTCAGTCTTCCTTATTCATTGTTCAGCTTTCGCATGCATATGAGGCAATTGAAAATACCAGGGCTTGTGCCAGGCACATCTTAGTCCTCAGACTGACATCTTTGCTTTTTAACACTTCAAGGAGGTCATTTGCAGCAGAGTTGCCCAATGCAGTACATTGTTTAATTTCCTGATTGCTACTTCCATGGGCATTGATTGTGGATCCAAGTAAAATGAAATCTTTGACAACGTCAACCTTTTCTCTGTTTATCATGATGTTGCTTATTGGCCCAGGGGTGAAGACTTCTTTGTTTTCTTTCTGTTGAGGTGTAATCCATACAGAAGGCTGTGGTCATTGATCTTCATCAGGAAGTGTTTCAAGTCCCCTTCCCTTTCCGTAAGCAACATTGTTTGGTCATCAGCCTATCGCAGGTTGTTAATGAGTCTCCCTCCAATCTTGATGCCCTCTTCTTCTTCATGTAGTCCAGCTTCTTGAGTTATTTGCTCAGCCTACAGAGTGAATGAGTATGGTGAAAGGATCCAACCCTGACCCACAACTTTCCTGACTTTAAACCATGCAGTATCCCCTTGTTGTGTTGGATCGGCTGCCTCTTGGTCTATGTATAGGTTCCTCATGAGCACAATGAAGCGTTCTGGAATTCCCATTCTTCCCAGTGTTATTCCACACAGTCAAATGCCTTTGCATAGTCAATAAAACACAGGTAAACATCTTTCTGGTATCCTCTGCTTTCCGCCAAGATCCATCTGACATCAGTGATGATATCCCCCATTCCACATCCTCTTCTGAATCTAGCTTGAATTTCTGGCAGTTCTCTGTTGATAATACTGCTGCAACCACTTTTGAATGATCTTCAGCAAAATTTTACTTTGGTTCTTGATCATATGCTACCTCCTGAAGTGATTGAACATAGACCAATTCTTTTTGGTACAGTGATTCTGTATTCCTTCTGTCTTCTTTTGATGTTTCCTGCATTGTTCAATATTTTGCCCGTAGAATCCTTCAATATTGCAACTGGAGACTTGAATTTTTCTTCAGTTCTTTCAGCTTGAGAAATGCTAAGCATGTTTTTCCCTTTGGTTTTCTACCTCCAGGTCTTTGCACATTTCATTATAATACTTTACGTTGTCTCCTTGAGCTGCTCTTTGAAATCTTCCGGTCAGCTCTTTTATGTGATTGTTTCTTCCATTCACTTTAGCTACTCGACATTCAAAAGCAAGTTTTAGAGTCTCTTCTGACATCCGTTTTGGTCTTTTCTTTCTTTCCTGTCTTTTTAATGACCTTTTGCTGTCTTCATGTATGATGTCCTTGATGTCATCCCACAACTCGTCTGGTCTCTGATCATTAGTGTTCAATGCACCAAATCTATTCTTGAGATGGCCTCAAATTCAGGTAGGATATGCACAGGGTCATACTTTGGCTCTCGTGAACTTGTTTTAATTTTCTTCAGCTTCAAATTGAACTTGCATAGGAGCAATTGATGGTCTTTTCCACGCTCGGTCCCTGGCCTTGTTCTGACTGATGATAATGAGCTTCTCCATCATCTCTTTTCACAAATGTAGTCGACTTTATTCCTGTGTATTCCATCCAGTGAGGACCTCCTGTATAGTCACCATTTATGTTGTTGAAAAAAAGTATTTACAGTGAATAAGTCGTTGGTATTGCAAAATTCTATCATGTGATCTCTGGCATTGCTTCTATCACCAGGACCACGCTTTCCAACTACTGATGTTTCTTGTTTCCAACTTTGGTATTCCAGTCACCAGTAATTATCAATGCATCTTAATTGCATGCTTGATCAATTTCAGACTGCAGAAGTTGGTAAAAAATCTTCAGTTTCTTCCCCTTTGTCATTAGTGACAAACCAAAAAATGTATATTCACTCTAAAAGATGAATTGTAATACAAATTGAACTAAGTTGCTAATAGAAACTAATTTGTAACAGGAAGTGCTTGTTACAAATTTGTGCCTAATATCAATGATGTGGACCATTGTTCATTTTGATGGAAGTTCTGTTATCATTTGCTTGTAGCAGTTCCCAGAATCTACACTACTTTTCTTCTAATACTGATGCCCGCCGTGGTTGTATTTTGTTTGCTATATTATATAGTTGGAACTAATTACACAAAGAGATTATTGGTTCAATAAGTTTATTTAAATTCAAAAAAAGCCTAAAAGCCTAATCTGTCACTTGCCTTAGAGATGAACTATTTAAGTCCCATAATTAATGTTATAAATTAAGCCCTGATGTAAATAACCATTTTCTTCCCCTATACTTTACTTGCCCATATCCTCCCATGGAATGTACTGAAGAAGAACGAGGAGGCTGAGGCCAAATGTTAAACTCAGCGTTTATCTATGACTTTACTTAGACTCATGGAAATGAAGAACCAATATAAATCAGGTCATCTACTCAAATCAAAGCCTTTATTTATTCTCACTTTCAAAAACCTTGAGAGATCTGGAAACTGTAGGGAGAGTGAAGCTATGAACATCTGATACATCCAATCAGCTTAGTCACATTACAAAATATCTACTAATCGACTTACCTGTCAGACGGCAAAATCAGTGCTGTGTTTGACTGAATTTTTCACTTTCAAACTGTGTACACTGTAGGTATGTAATAAATCCTCTGAGGCTTAATAGATTTTAACTTAACTTGCCAATTCTGCTTATGCGTCTCTTGCCCGTCACGTATGTTTCTCTCAGTTCTCAGGACATATCTGGACCATTGCCAACATATATATGTTCCTGGTGTTTTTACTGTAACTGTTGGTTTATGTGGGTTTTCCCTTTTTCTAGACTAGAAACATTCAAGGAAGAAATAGATGTGGAATAGACAATATATAGCAATGTACATTTTTTTCCAGGTAATCTTTGCTGTCTCCTGGACTCTCACAACTGTTTCCAGGCATTGAAATATGGCAATGTGATAACCCCTATTTGACCGACGAGAAAATTGAGGTGTAGACTATCATAAAAAATTTGCAAACATTTTTATAGCCTATTATAAAAGGACAAAAATTGGTGTACATATTGAAATCAGCGATCACTGGTGGTTACCAGGGATAGGTCTGGGGTGGGGGAAATGCCTCTCTAGATTGTAGACGCTTGCTATTTCTGGTGATGGGGATACAGCACAAATGTGGATGAAGGGTGCACAGCTTGACCAAAGGCAATGATGTCACTAAGAAATGTGCAAGAAGAAAAGAACGTTTTTGGTAAATGCTGTGACATGCCACTGTGCAAGGACAACTAAAAAAACAGGAGTGTGCGTAAGTCGGTACAGATGTGTGTAAGTGTACGCATCCAGATATAGTTATACACACAATAGAGCACATAGGGGCATGCACACACACACACACACACACACACAGTGTTTACATAAACATTTTGGGATAAAACCCCAGCCAGAATTCCAGGATTTCCCCACTATTCCAGAAGCTCCTTCAAACTCCAGGTTAATCGTGCCACGTTGATCAAGCCCTGGTAAGTTTCAGCCAGAGCAATATCAAAGAAAAACAGATCTGAGGCTGTTTGGAAGAGAGACATCTCCAGAGTTGGCACTGACTGTGGGAATAAGAATAGCAAAGGGTTAAAGAGATTGGTAGACAGGCTAGAAGAAGCGTGTTGTTGTTGGGTGCCGAAGAGTCTATTCTGGCTCATAGCAACCCCGTGTGAGGGTAGACCTGTCCCATGTGAGGGTAGAACTGCCCCATGGAGTTTTCTTTTTTCATAGGTAATCTTTATGGGAGTAGTTCACCACATCTTTCTCCCACAGAGCCACTGTGTGGGTTTGAACCACCAGTCTTCTGATTAGCAGCTGAGTGCTTAACCATCGCTCCACCAGGGCTCAGAAAGAAGCATAGTGGTAGACAAAATGAGTAAGTAGGCGGAGGTTGTTTTTAATACTATGCATTTTTATCTACCAGTTGCCATCAAGTCGAACCCAACTCATGGCGACCCCATGTGTGTCAGAGTCTAACTGTGCTCCATAGGGTTTCCAATGGCTGACTTTTCAGAAGTAGACGACCAGGCCTTACTTCTGAGGCACCTCTGGGCGGAATCAATCCTCCAGGCTTTCAGTTAGCAGCCAGGTATGTGAGTCCCAGCCAGTGCAGCTGCCATCTGTCCGTTGGCACAGGCTGTGTTTATATGATGCTGAATAGTTTTCACAGAGTTCCAGACTAAGATGGACTAGGAAGAAAGGCCTGGTGATCTACTTCCGAAAATCAGCCAGTGAAACCCTGTGGACCACAATCATCAGATCCCCAGCTGATCACAGGGATGGCACAGGACTGAACGCGTTTCCTTCCATTGTGCATGGAAAAACCGAAACCAAACTTGTTGCCATCCAGTCAATTCCAACTCATAGTGACCCTATAGGACAGAGTAGAACTGCCCCATAGAGTTTCCAAGGAGCTCCTGGTGGATTTGAACTGCCGACCTTTTGATTAATGGCCATAGCTTTTACCCACTACGCCACCAAGTTTTCTGCCACTGTGCATAGGGTCACCGTAATTTGGGGATCCACTTGAGAGCAGCTAG